GCCTCATTGTGTAACCATTCAATGCAGATACTAACTGGAGAGGAAAAAAATTAAGATATTTGCCAAAATCAGAAATTAAAGTTTTCGATGATGTTAAAGAAATTTACAACACATTGGATTACCTTGTTTAGAATAAATGTCACCTAGAAAATAAACATAAATTATTCTAATATCTCATTCTTCTTATTGTTCCCGCAACATACTAATTTATATTTGGAACTTGCTTATATTCATAAATATATAACATTGATCAACAAATATTGGGTTTTTGAGATGTGGGCATATACATATGCATATATTAAAAGTAGATATTAATAATACATTGGTATCAACTCAAGCTGGTGGCATGGGATTCATTCACATTAGTTGTACAGACATTTCTTGGATCTCATGAAACTGAAATCTATGCCAGTTTAATTTGTGTGTGTATTTCTGAGATGAAAAGTTATCATTATTTACATGTGGACAATTTTTTTAAGCTTTTCACCGCAAGCAAGGCATTACAAAGAGTAGGAGCAAGAGTAAAGAGGTGTGATAGAGGAAAAGATGAAGAGAAGGATGGAGAATAGATCAAGGCATCTGGAGATGTCAATTGACATTGCATTTGAATAGTTGGAGATTATAGCTATCAGGAAAGCAAGCAAGAGGAAGGGAGTTGCACAGACAGGAGGTGCAAGACATGGAGCTTTTGGAGTAGAAGAGACGGCTGCATTTAACTGTTTCAACAGTGAAAATGTGGGACTGAGATGCCAACCTAATAGCACGTTTAAATTCATGCAGTTTGGGAACTAGCAAAAGAAATAACTGTCCTTATTTTTGTTGTTATCACACTGTTTCAACCATTGGCACATCATCAGGTGTATATCAACTTGGGTAATCTATAAAGAATTTTGAACTGAACCCTTAATCTGGGGGAGGGAGCAGACTCTTATTGTTACACTGGCGATGTCTAGTGATATCGCATCTAGTTCTTATTTTTAGTACTGCTCAGTTATTGCTTGCCCTGTTTTCCCCCGAGTCCAAGTACACTGCCAGGAATTGATCATGTATAGAGGGAAAAGGGTAACAATCAGGCTCTGTGGAATGAAGTGAAAATACTGGAAGGAAGAACACTGAACAGTTAAAAAAAATCAGCAGATAGGCAATGGGGACTTCTTTAGTAAGCTTAGTATAAAAATAAATACAATATGGGAGCTGCTAATAAAGAAAAAAAAATGACAGTCTTCAACAACAGCAGTAGTAACAAAAGACAAAAGCTTCAATGAGTACAGTCAAGTATGACAACTAGCTGCAGCACTCATCTGCAGGCAGATTAGGTTTAAGGCTCCAAGTTCTCTCTAGAGAATTGTCTTATGGGATTTAGTGATTATCATCTTGTATTTAGAGGATTAAAGTGTTGGTTCATCAATTTCGTGACACAGTAATTGTGAGTTCAATCCCAGGATGAGGTATTGTGTATATGGAAGTCATGCACTGCCCAGACCACATTGCTGCCTCTCTCAACATGCTGCTAATATTCAATGGAATACAGGGCATTGGCTGCAGGAGTTGCTAGATGTTTTTCGGGGTTCCACTCCAGATTTACTTCTGTAGATCCTTCCAGATTTGGATACAGCTGCAAGGGAACAGAGTTTTAAAATCAAGCTTACCTTTCCCTTGGTTGGGCTGATGAGCTCCATCTACCCAAAGCAGATGGTGATGAGACACCAATTGTCCTTCTTTATCACTTATCCAGCTCCGAGCTGGATTTAGTTGTCAGTCTATTTGAGATATATGACATGAGAGCATTTTTTGAATAGTGAGAGCTTGTTCCCAGTATACCCCCTGGCTATGACAATCTTTAAAATATCTATTTGTACAACTATCCTAAAGAGCACTTGTTTTATATTTACTTTCTGTTTTTGCTTAATTAAGGTTATATTTATCAACTTTGCATTTTCTTCTTTCATTCATTTATTTCTTTTATGAATTGATAGTTTGTGAATTTGACCAGCAATCCATCTTTTATACAAGTTTCAGTGAAAACTGACAAGGCACTGCACTTAAGCTTTTTTTTCAACTTTTTTTTGCTTTCATACAAGAGATTTCTTTTCTGGACAGTGTGTAAAACTACCCAAATGATCTGTAGATCAAACCATTTTCAGCTAATCTATTAGCCATTACCAAGATTTTTTTTTTTTGCATTATATATATATATATATATATATATATATATATATATATATATATATATATATAAACAAAAACAAAGAATCACCTCTCAGGTGTAAACACTCCAACCACTACTTTAAGTTTCATGCCTGTCAGCAACTGCAATGCAAAAAAAAAAAAAAAAAAAAAAAAAAAAAAATGAATGGTGTTCATGCACCAGGCACAATCCAGCCAGTTTCACCCAGAGGAGGGGGAAAGCACCCATCCAGCCAAGTTCAAAAATAATGCCATAAGCACAATTCCTCCACCACAAAAAAAATTAAAAATATCTCATTGGTGCTCCAAAAGTGCATTTTATTTGCATTACAGCTGACAACCACCTGACAATTACTTAAAGGCATGAAACTTATAGTAGTGGTCAGACTGTGTAGACCTGAAAGGGGATTCTTTGTTTAGAAAAGACCTACCACTTTTCTTTCTGGTGTGCTGTCACTGCTGACTCTTTTTTAAGAGCTGCGTATTTCTTATATATATATATATATATATATGGAGAGAGGAATTTCTAAACACAATCAACACATTGTGACTGGGTACATGTGATATTATTAACAGCTGGTTTCTTTTTTTATTATTAACACATCGCTTATTTCTAAGTTTTTGGCATGTGGAGAAGTCTATCATAGTCATATTTTCCACAAATATTTTGAAGATGGGCATATATTTACTGATGTTGCCAGTACTCAGACATTAAATTTTTTCACTGTCCAATCTCTCAAATCTTAGACTTCCCTATTAGCAAAACCAAGCAATAAGCTTCTCTATTTCTTACCTCTTCTCCTCACTCTTACTGAGCTTCGCAATACTGCCTTCTTGTTAACTTGGACCACTCTGTGATAGTTATTGATATTTCATCCCAATGATCTATTAAACAAGAATCCACATTCGTAAGACCACTTTCCGTTCCCAGCATGCTGATTGGAACTCACTCCGTGATTTTCTTCAGGATGCCCCTTCGATTGATATCTTTAATCTACCAATTGAAAGTTACACCATTGAGGTTTCTTCTTGGGTCAAAGCCAGCATGGATGCTTTCATCCCTTCTCAGAAATACCAGGTGAAATCTCAATCTTCACCACAGTTCACACTAGCATTCTTGGCCACTATTGCACACAGAAACAACTATTCTCAGCTATACCAGCATGACAGCTCTTATTGCTGCTCATAATAAAAGTAACTCTTTGAAGGAGATAAATCCCTATTTGCCAAGAAAATGAGGCACTACATAGCCTCAAACAACTTTGTTTACCTGCAGCTCTGTAATAGGACATTAAATAAGTATAAGGTCTATTCCCAGCCTCTTCAATCGATTTTAGGTGTTATCCTCTGCTGACAAAGCTGAATGCTTTGCTCACAAATTCTCCTCAAACACTACTCTTGACTAATCTGGAGTATCCCTGCCTTGCCTAACTTCCCACTTAGAGCTAAGTCTGTTGAGTGATATATTTATACCCCCCCCTTCAATGGTTCCTGCTATCATCTCTAACCTAGATCCCTACAAAGCATGTGGACCAGATAGTATCCCTGTAATAGTCATTAAGAAGTGTGCTCATGAACTGGCTCCTATTCTCTCTAAACTGTATAATAAATACCTCGCTGTCTACTGCTTTCCTGCTTGCTGGAAGTTATCTGTTGTTCTAGTTTTTAAGAACTCTGGTGATCTGTTTAACCCTTCCAACTATCAGCCTGTTAGCCTTCTGCCTCTTTTTGGGAAATTCCTAGAGGCCCTAATCAATGCTGAATTGGTTCATATCAAATCGCAGGGCCTTTTCTTAGACAAACAATATGGCTTTCATTTCTCCCGGCCAACTGCTGACATAATTGTAGAAAGAGTTTATCATGCTCTAGATAAAAAATGAAGCCTGAGCTGTAGCACTGGACATTTCCAAAGCCTTTGGCAGGGTCTGGCATTCAGGTCTTTTCCAAAAGTTGAAAAGTTTTTGAATGGATCCAGTCTTTCCTATCAAATCATGAAATGAAAGCTATCCTGAACGGATACTTGTTTAGATCCATTTGTACTAATACGGGTATCCCCCAGAGCTCCATCCTTGGTCCTACTCAGTTTTTAATTTTCATTAATGACCTTCACAATGATATCAGCTTTCAACTTGGTATCTATGCTGGTGACACAACCATTTACTCCTGCCTCGATAGTAAGGCTGATCAGTTCATCAAGGTCAAAACAGCAGCCTCAACTGAGGCTAAGGATAGCTCATTAATTTTAACACCTCCAAAATAAAACTTCTCTCCACTAATCATCTGAGAGACCCCTCACTGCCTTCCATCAGCATGGCTGATGCTAACCTCCAGGAAAGTGGCTCATTGTACCTTCTCAGGCTCATGTTCTCAGCCGACATGAAGTGGAAAGACTATATTGAATCCACTGCTAGGTCAGTAGGTAAAAACGTCAGTTCAGTTTTATGCAAGACAATTTTTCTCTCCAGAATCTATCTTACATATCTATAAGTCTACCATTTGTTCATGCTTAGAATATTGCTACCACATATGGTCTGGTGCCCCTGTTATTTACCTTAAGCTCCTTGATAAGATACAAAAAAAAAAAAAAAAAAAAAAAAAAAAAAAAATCAGCATATTGGTCCTGATCTGGCAGCTCTACTTCAGTCACTTTCCCACCGCCATAAGGTTGCATCTCTGTGCCTTTTCTACAATCCTTTCATGGTAATTGTTCGGATGAGCTCTTCACTATGGTACTTAGACTTTTTTAATTTAAGCACAGTACTAGACTCGCATCGAGACCTCATCAATTTATAGTTGAACCAACTAGATGTAGCTGTAAGTTTTATGCTAACAGTTTCTTTTCTCACACATCTCACTTGTGGAACTCCCTTCTGACTCCATGCTTTCTAGCCAACTTCAATTTGCAAAAATTTAAATGCAATGTTGATCGATATCAACTGTCCTCCTGATGATTCTTTCTACTCATTATTAGTGTTTCTGTTACTAATTCGTCCAAACTGTATCCCCTTGTGTGTTAGTGGCTTTACTGCCTTGCATTAGGTAATACCAATTAAAAAAAATTATATATATGCGTCAACAGCAGCAATTCAACTTTCATAAAAACATCTGCAAGGAGCATTTATTTCTTCACAGCTGAATTTTGTAAAGGTGCTATTTTTTTTAATTTAGCCAATATCTAACAATAATCCAAGTTCTAAAAAAGCCAAGGGGCAATGTCTTAGCTTTTCAATCTGTTCAAAACAATCAACATTGGATAGAATAAAAAAATTAAGAAATTTTCACTGACTTACATACATATATAAAATTGGAAAATTAAAGATTGGAAATTTTTGCCAAGAAACATCTATGTCAGGATAAAATTAAAAATATTAAGTAATCTTTTCCTATATCATAAATGCTCTATTTTTAATATTATTTTAATACTGAGCACTACATATAAAAATATCTACTGTTTCTTATATCTTCTTTATATACAGTGAAACACATAAGCATTGGATACATGTTATTTTCTGTTATAACTAGTTTATGTTTGCCATTTTGCCTGATATTTGGTAAGTAATATCTCGTAAAGTTGTTTTAGTTGTATGTGGAAGGAAAATTAAAAACACATGGTTGAATCCATTTTTTTTTTTTTTATCAAAGTTCAAAATTACCCTATGCAAAAGTATTGGATACATCGATTTAATATTTTGTTATGTAGCCTCTGTTTTGTTTCACTGCTTCCAGTTGCTTTCTATAGTTGGCCACAAGTTTTCCACACTGATCCACCATTACTTTACCCCATTCTTCCTTGCATAATTCCTCTAATTGCTTGATATTTTGTGAATTCCGCTTATGAACTTTAACCTTTAAAGTATTCACAAATTCTCAATTGGATTTCAAGAGACTGACTTTTAAATTGAGAGTACTAATACCATTATTTTCAAACCATTCCTTTGTAAGTTTTCGGTATGTTTGGGATCAAGAGAAATTCCAACCATGTCCTAAAGAAAGTTGCAGATTTCTGAAGGTTCTTTAGAATCTTCTTGTACATGCTACCATTCACTCTACCATGGATAACTTGTAACTCACCAGTTATAACAGAAAATAACATGTATCCAATACTTATGCGTGTCACTGTATATATTTTTAAGCATTTCACCCTAAGCAAAGCAAGAGTACCACTAGCACACAGGGGCTTACAGAGAGTGAAAGTGAGAGAAAAGAGTGAGTGTAAGAGGGGGGGGCGAGGGAAGGAAAAAAAGGACAGAGATCAAAGCAACCGAAGATGGCGATTTAGCATTTAAATTTTTGAAGATTGTAGTTATCAGGGAAGCAAGTGAGAGGAAGGGAGTTCCATTCTCAGGAAGCATGAGGAAAGAACCTGTTGGAGTAGAAGTGGTGGTTACATTTAACTATTCTAACAGTAAGTGGGGGTGGGGATCTAGATCTAGTAGCACACATAAATTCATTTAGTCAGAGCACCAGTGACAAAAGCTTGTCAGAGCCATTAAAATATTTGTAGAAAAGACAGATGGAAGCTACATCACGTCTGTAAATGTCTGAAGTTGTGAACCCAATTCAGGACCGATTACATTACAGATCCTTCTCTGGATTTTGTCGAGAACCTGGAGATGAACAGCAAGGGTGCCAGACCAGATCTGGCAACAGTATTCAGTGCAAGGATAAATGGTAGATTTGTAAGATGGACTCTGACGAGAAATACCTTCTGGCACAACACAGTGAACCAACTTTCCTTGCAGTAGATGCAGCTGTTGATTTAATGTAGTTGTTCCACTTCAAGACAATTGAAAATGTTAGGCCAAGGAAGTGCAGTGAGACACCCTCACAGAAATGAGCAACAACCATGCTGATATATGTTTGTCTGATGATCTAAAAGTGTGAAACCCAGGGTTGCAAACTCATTATCCATACAACTCTGTGTGTGTGTGTGTGTGTGTGTGTGTGTGTGTGTGTGTGTGTATATATATATATATATATATATATATATATATATATATATATATATATATATATAAAAAAAACATACCTCATTGTGTGAGAGGAGCTATGAAGCTACTACATAAAATGTAAGAAAATACCAAACATTTATTACTAAAAACAGAAAATGTAGGACAAATTTCAGGAGAGTAACACAGGAGAGCCTTCTTGGGCTCACATTTTCTACCAACATAAAGTGGAGTCATTATATTGAATCAATTGCTATGTCTACTGCTAGGAAAGTTGGTTCACTGCATCATGGTAGACTATTCTACTCATCAGAATTCCACTTGCACATTTATAAATCTACCATTTGTCTATGCATTGAATACTAGTGCCATATTTGGTCTGGCGTTCCTACTATAAACCTTGAGATTTTTGGCAAAATTCAAAGAAGGGTCTGTAACATAATCAATTCTAACCTGGTATCTCAACGCGAATAACTTTCTGACCATCAGGATGTGGCTTACCTCTATCTTTTCTACAACTATTTACATGGCAATTTTTCTGTTGAGCTGTTTTCAGTACCTCTATTGCTTGAATATAAGCATGCTACTAAATTGGTAACCAGGTCTTACTGTTGGACTAGTCGATACAACCATCAGTATTAATATTCTAATAGTTTTTCTCATACTTCTCATCTATGGAACTCTTTAGATTCCTTGCAATATTCAAAAATTAAAATGCATCATCACTTGCCATCTTCTATCTTCCCGAATCCTGTTTCTTTATGGTTCTTTTCCTCATTAAAGTTTTCTCATTATCTTCCACTCCTTGTAACCCTTTGCATCCTAGTGACATTATCACCATCTTCTGTCTTCTTGAAACCCGTTCTTTTATTGTCCTTTCTCCTCACTAAAGTCTTCTCATTATCTTCCACTCCTTGTAAACCTTTGCATCCTAGTGACATTATCACCATCTTCTGTCTTCCTGAAACCTGTTCTTTTATTGTCCTTTCTCCTCACTAAAATCTTCTCATTCTCTTTCACTCCCTGTAAAACCTTGAGTCCTAGTGGCATTATCACCTTGCTTGGGGTGAAATGATGAAAAAGAAAAAAGTTGTTCTTATAAGTTATTACTTGTAGAAGCACACCTAATAAAAAATATGTTGAGCATTGATTTGGGGGGAACGATGAATGTCTATGGTTAGGGTTTTTCATAATTTTCTGTAAATACACCAATATTTTGGTAATTGTTAAAAATTTACTAATTTCCAAAATCTCTAACTCTGAACATTAGAAATTATATTTCCTGCATTTCTACAAATAACTGCTTCTTATAGTCCCCTCCATATCCTCAATTAAACTGACAACTTCTTTCTCATTTTATGAATATTTTGCTTAAAGTTCATATATCTTCAGTCCTGGGTTTGTCGATAAACTACATCCAGCAGCAAGGCTTGGAAGTTTTGAGGAACATGGAACCACCTCTTAATTGCTGTTGTTCCCAGGTCCGTCCTGACCCAGGGTGGTAGTACCTGTTAAGCATGAAGGACCAACTCAACACTGCCAACAGAGTGCTGGGACAAGTCAGGGCCAAGACAACCCAGCACCATAAAAAAAAAAAAAAAAAAAAAAAAATTTTTTATAAATGAATAAAAATAATTTATTAAGGATTAAACCTTAATCAGTGAATAATTTTTTTAAAATTTTTTAATAAAGTAAATTGTAAAGAAATTTATTTTTTAATAAAATAAAAATATTCACTTTACTTGGTTAAAAAAAAAAAAAAAAAATAATATTGTATTTTTCTGGTCCTGAATTGTCCTGTTAGGGTGCCAGGGCAAATTGTGAACCCCCTACTCCTAACAAAAACAAAACACTATGAAATAGTAAAAATTATCCACATACTAATTGTAGCAACCTCACCCAAATCAATACTACCAAACATCCAACATGAACTTTCATAACATTAGTCCATATAATATCGGACAATTTCTTAAATCAAACTGTATTCCAAAATATAACTTCAACAAAACTACAGCGTAAAACACACATTACAGGCTCTAGTAATTGTGACACAAACATGTATATGCACAAAAGCTGAGTATCATCTATCATGTATTCAATTGCAAAAATCAAAATTCAAAAGCAGAATAATATATATTGTATTTTTATTACTTCTAAGCTCACAAGAAAATTAAATTAAATTTTGGCATTAAATGACCCACAAGGAGTTGATATGCCATTAAACAGACAAATCAATTAGATATTTTCTTGATTTCAGATAAAGAGTGAATTTTTCACTTCCCAAACATGATATGTCATAATTATAGTCAAAAAGGCAACATCAGTTTATACTGAAATCAGAACAATATAGGTTAAATAATTATCCATTTTTTTAAAAAATTCTACTGGTAAATTGATTAAATATGTCTTAGGACCCAATGAGGTATAATAGAAATGAAAAAATTAAGCAAAACAAGTTTAAATAAAATATCTTACCCTGATTAGTTACTTCAGCAGGTTTGTCACCTTTTGGATAGTTTAGATCGGCCATCTGAAACAAAAGGAAAAAAAAACTTAAAAAGTAATTAAATGTCAAGATTTAATTAATATGACAAAAAATTCACAAACTAAGAATTGGGGTAAGTCCAGACAAGCAAACATAGCATTCTGACTTCAAGACAAGACAGACCAGAATTGTGTCAGATGAAACCAAAAACTAGCCAATTTTATTGGCTAGGAAAAAATCCCAGCATACATTTGTGTACTTCTGCCTATAAATTGGGGAAAAGAGGAAAGTTTTGCAGTCCAGTTGAACTCTCTTCCTTTGGGCGGGGAGGAACACGAAAGAAGCTACGCCGAAGGGCAGATTCATTTCGGGGAGGTAAACCGACCCTGAACCCGTTCATACGGGTTCAATGGGCAGATTTTTGGCTGAGCCCACGTTAAAAAGGTCTTGCGCCACATGACGCCCTCGTGGGGTGGGGAGATGACTGAATATCATCATTCTCAGTAGGATTGAATGGTGAGGAATGAGTAATGATAGTCTGAGTAAACATCTTTTCAGTTTTTTTTTTTTTATTGAGACACCATCTCTAGAAAGGCTGTCATTCAATGCTTAAGACCCCAACCTATATTATATATATATATATATATATATATATATGTGTGTGTGTGTGTGTTGGCTATTGGTTTCTATAAGCTCATCCACCCTTTGACAGGTCTTGTTTTTTACCCCGTGGGGGGGGTGATATACCCCCACTTCTCACCAGCAAGAAAGGTAACAGGGGAGCTGGTTTAGACACCAACCACCAGTATTTTTTTTTTGTTTTTACACCAAAACAATGTTAGAAAAATTAACAACTAAGTGAAAAACATTTTTGTGCAATGTTTTTCATCCTTTAGGACTTCAGACTAAAATGATGTAACTACACATGCACAGAAGAGAGGGGGATGCTGAAATTTCCAACTTTTTTTTTTTTTATTATTATTATTATGTATTTGGATATATAGTTTAGACAAGTTTTTATTGACTAGACTATGGATCCAAATATGTTAAAAAAAAAAAAAAAAAAAAAAAAATTATTTAAATGTTTAACTCATCAATTACCAACATCTTTACAAATCATGATATACAACTAAAGTAATTGATCATGTTATTCAAAATAAGTATCTTAGATACCTTGTAGTCAAACAATAGTCATCATGCTAATGTAGTGGGAGATAGTTATGACAGGTGATGAGAGGAGTTTGAAAACTTTCAAAATAAATGAACACCACATGGAGGATTTTTATACATATTTATGTGTTTAGAGATAAAAAAAAAAAAGAAGAAGAGAGAGAGAGAAGAGGAGGCAAACATAGGATTAGTGGTAGTGTGTATGTGAGAGCACCACGTGGGCTGTGTGAAACTAATTCATGGCATTCTTAACATTTGTTGATAGAATCATCTCATTGTCTCTTCCTCATCTGAGGAGTTTGTCTACTATTCACCGACATATAGATTAGATATATAGATATAGCGATTCAGCACTTTTCCTTGTTTCTAGGAACATTTTCTGATATCTTAATACTTAGCTTAGATTCTGAAAGGCATCTTTCACTTTTCTGCACCTTTACATTTTTGACTCACACTTATCTGTTCTTAGACTACTCAGTTAAGCTTGATTTTGACATCCCCAATATGTAGCTCAGTTTTGGCTGACTCATTTTGCTGCATTGTCTTACAATTAATAGTTAGGTCTTTCTTCTTGCTTTCCTTTATGATATGAGTTACACACATACATAAAGCAGCAACACTCACGCCCTCATTGTTGTAAATTCCAAAATAAGTCTAACCAAATCTGTTCCATACAGAGTTAAAAGAAAACCATATCACTCAACAAAGAGGAAGATACTGAACTAATCAGATTGTTCTATTCTAATTTTCAAGAGTCCTCAAAGAAAATAAAAGCAAAGTAAGCAACCCAAAAATTAGAATTTTTTTTCTTTTTTAAACCTGTATCACTCTATGCAAGGCAGTAAAGCCACTAAGACACAAGGGGTTACAAGATGCAAAAGATTTAGGAACAGAAGCATTAATAATGAGCAGGGAGAGTAATAGCGATTGACACTGCATTTAAAATTTTTGCAGATTAAAGTTTGCTGGAAAGCATGGAACCAGAAGGGAGTTCCACAAGCAAGAAGTGTGAGAAAAGAAACTTAACATAGAATTTACAGAATTTACTAACCAGCTTAACTGTAAATTGATGATCTGTACACCAGTCTAGTACTGTGCTTAAATTCAAAAAAGCCTAGGTACCATAGTGAAGAGCTCATCTGAACAATTCCACTCACTTCAGAAGGATCTACCACCAGTCACCAATTAACTATTATTCAAATACACCAATTGGAGGTTTAACGGGCCCGTTTCTATCTACATATATAAATGTGTAAGTGTAAGTGTTCTCAAAGCAAATTTGTCGCAGATTACTTTCACAACACAAATTAAAATCACTAAGTCCAGACTCGAGTATCGGGGGCAGAAAGAAATGCTGAAAACTCGATTCGCCAGTACTATCTTAAATCACAATGCGTGTAACCAGTCAGGAAAATAACTCACTCTCCAACAAACGCCATAGCCAAAAATGCCCGAATTTTCCTTCCTCCAAATCGAGAACACCAACTGCTTTTATCGGCAGAACCTATTTTTTTCATTCATCAACAGATGGGATAGGATGCTCCGTAATTTGCATATCAATATACTCTTATAGCGACTCCTGCGACGGACTTGTTTCTTTTTCCGTCACAGAATACACGCGACGCGCCGTCGCTTGGGTTGACAAGGTAAATCGCCGTTTTCTTCGCTATAAGATTTTTGATGACTACTTTTTGGTAATCCTTCTTCGGCAGATCGCACACAAAACACAAACTTTTTTCCGGGGTACCTGATTATCTCTTTCACTACAAAATGTATAGCAATAACAAAGATACTGCAAAGCCAGAAATACTGTCAGTCAGTAGAAGTAAAAGAAAAGGACATTTAAGGCAAGCAGTTCTTGATATCAGAATAGAGCATTAATAGGATTAAAACAAATAAAATTTGGTCACTTAGATGATTGTTGTTATATGCAACATAATTGGCTCTGATCTCGTCTGCAGTCGCTCTCTCACAGATGTGTCGTCGCCACCCTCTGTTTTTTTTTTTTTTTTTTTACAAATACTTTCATGGTAACTGCTCCAAGGAGCTGTTTTCGCTGGTTCACAAACTTCATGAATTTAAGCGTTCTACTAGGCTGGCATCTCACTCACACCCTTTCACTGCCAAAACTGCTAAATGTAGCCATCTCTTCTACTCCAATAGCTTCATGTCTCGCACCTCTCACCTGTGGAACTCCCTCCCCTCCTCCCGTTTCCCTGATAGCTATGATCTGCAACTATTCAAATGTAATGTCAATAGACGTCTCCAGATGCCCTGATCTATCCCCTATCCTTCTCTTCATCTTTTCCTCTATCACTTCTATTTACTCTAGCTCCAACTGTCTGTAACCCCTTGCATGCTAGTGGCTTCCAGCCTTGCTTGGGGTGAAACACTTAAAAAAAAAAAATTATATATGATTGATAATATTAGTGGTAAATATACTCATACATATCTAAAATATATAAATATATATACATACACATATATGTATATATTTTCATTCAGCACCTCAAATCTAGAGTTTCATAGACAAACCTCTTTATAATCATTCGGTCTACCCATTGGTCAAATGTTAAAACTTCTTGATGAGTTTTATTGCATTTTTTTTAATCCAACATTACTTCCCTTAATTTCCTTCAAAATTCAAAGATTTTTTTTACTTCATACTCAGTAAAAGAGACAAAGTAATTTTTACATTACACCTTAGAGACATTTTAAATCTATCAAAACTTGAACTTAAATTTGTTTCTTCTTTCAAATTCTACACTTCATTTTTTTTTTTGTGATTATCAAACATTTCTACTGAATTTTATTAGGGGAAGAACATTTAATATTAAATGTATACAAAAATAATACCCTATATGGTGGCAAAAGCTGCTGGTGGCACCAGAGGTGGCAGTACTGCCTTAGCCACCAAAACTTACCTCCCCTGGTTGGCAGCTGTCGAGGGCAGGGTATCGCACATGCTTTCACATGTAGAGAATTGGCATTTCTAAACTACCTGCCCTGTCTAAGAGTTCTTTCAGTTTTCTTTCTGTGTCTGCTATCAACACAATGTCATCTACATAGTTTATGTTTTTATATACAGGTGTACATACTTGTAATAAGAATTTATTCTTTTACAATTATTAGAGAAATTAGTTGAAGAAAAAAAAAAAGTCATATAGGGTCATTTCTGCAAGTTAAATTTTTTTTTTCATTAAGAGAATATGTCTCAATATTTGAGACCGTTTTTTTTTTTTTGTTGTTTTTTATTTTTTAAATAATTGAAAGCAAAGTAAGAGTTTGTTTATTCTTGAATTTTTCATACCTTTGAATTTGAAACAGCTATCTCAGCCTTTGATGACTTACGTTTTTATAATAAAAAAAATACTAAGCAAATCAATAACTTTAATTTTTTGTTAAATTTAATAAATTACTATTGTTTCACTTTTACTACAGTTACTGACAGAAAAACAAGGGATTCTTTGTGTCTAAAATCAAATAATGAAGTACAGTAAAAAAAAAAAAAAAAAAAAATTTTATTGCAATTCAATGATTCAGGACAAACTGGATATGAATAAAAAAATTCATTTTGGTACTTTGCTGCTTTACGTGTTAAAAAAAAGAAAGGAAAAAGAAAAAAAGGTAAAATAAAAAAAAATGTATTTTTATTTACAAGGCTAAAAAACAATTGACTAAAAAAAAAAATAAAAAAAAAAAAAAAGGCAATAACCTAATCGACTAGTGATGTAATAATTGTCTCATCCCAATAACAAATTGAAATACACCTAGGAGGGCATCATCGAACCATTGATCATAAAACTAACTTTATCTACCTTTTAATTTTGTAAGTAAGTTAAATTGCCTATTGAAGTTGGATCTAGCAAAGTGGCAATTTTATCTTATAATTTAAATTATTAGTTATTCTTCTTGGGTTTTCTTCGAATTTAGTCTACCGTATTTATTAGCAATGTATTTTTTTTTGTTCCAATTTGGAGTCAAAATCAACTGCTTTTTTTATTATTTTATTCAGGTCCGTATGGTTATTGGGTAAAAAACGGTAACCAAGCCATTGACAATAAATCAAAAATAAAAACATGCTTTAAGATTAAAGAATTTCATATAAAAATATCCAGAAAAAAATTGTAATTCCAACAATGAAGAAAATGGCTAAAAATAAAAAATAGATTTTTTTAACATGCTTTAAACATTGAGAAGAGTCACTCACCCAAACAAAAAAATGGGCATTGTAATTACTCTCAAAGCACTAACCAAAGACGTAGATAGTTGTTTGGTTTTTTTTCTTCTAAATTTGTGATTAAAAAAAAGGCAATCGTGTTTTAAGCAGATCAAAGCGAAAAAAACTTATGGCCAAAGCAAACATTTTACTTACAGAAACTGCTACAATACATTTTTTTAAACATGTTCCATACTCTACGTGTTAAAAATAAAATACTTTTTCTGGTACTTACAACTTGTTCAAAAGTGTTTCCAACATTCTGGTGATAAGATATCATTTGATATGCTTCATGTTGCAATGATCCATCACCACAAGATTCGGCTTCTTCTGCCTTCTCACGGCGGTTCACTGTGAATTACATATCGAAAACTAACAGCAGTAGTAACACAGATACATCATTAAAAACAAAAAAAAAACAGAAGACTGATTTTCACACACATTTAACACCAGATAACTAACACTAAAAAATTGGACACATTACAAGTCTTCTTAAAACATTAAATGTAAATCTAAAAAGAGAGAAAAAAAATTCAACATAAAATAAGAATAAGATCATTTTATTTTAATAATGATAAACTTGCACAGTAAATTATAAAACTATTGATTTAAAAATTAAAATTATACTTGATTTTAAATTTTATTGAAAAATCAGGTATCTTTAAAGAGGATTCTTTTCTTTTCTTTTTTTTTTAATTCATGTTCTTTTTTCCATTTTTTCTAGCGAAGATTCGAAACACGAAATAAGTTGCTTGGGCTGAAAGTTAATTAAACATTTTTAAATGTGTAAAATTAAAAACAAAGCAGAAACTCCTTGTTGTTTAAATGCAAGTAAATGTTTAAAAATTAAAATTAATAACCTGCGCCAAATGTAAAGATTAATCAACTCAACTATAAATAATTCTCTTCTTAAAATTAAATTTATTTGCAGCGCGACTATGATTTCGAGATAATGAAGTTTAGTGTTTGATTGAAAAATTATCCGATTGTTTTTGTTTTTTTACAACAATGATGAGGATATTAGTCCGAATAAGTCATCATTACTTTTTTTCAATATGTGCAAAAGAAAATAGAAAGTGCAGTTGTCTATTTTTTTAATGTGTGTATCAACTTGATCACGCACTTTAGAAAAGTAAACGTTGATACCCTTTTTTTTTTTTTAGTCAAGAAGTGACTTGAGTAAAAAAGAAAAGACTTAATTAAAATGTTAAATTCGATTTTCTTATTTTTGCTAAATAGGAAACAACGTTTTTTTACTTGAAGAAAAACTGTAGTTAAAGCCACGTTTTTTTTTTACTTTTTTTCAATTTATTACATTTATGACCGATATTTTTTAAACAATGTTCTTTTTTTTTCTCTCTCTCTCTCTCTCTTTGCATGAACGAATGTGAAAAAAAAATCTTGTCCTTCGTTCTCCCATTAAACAACATTCTTTAATTAACATTTGTCTTGGTCCATGCGTGTGCGTGATACACGCTTCAGCGATCATGTATCTTTCGAAATATGACTGACGAGGCAGATTTTTTCCTGCAGCAGGTTGCCATTTCTTTTATCCAAGGCTATAAAACCCGGTCTGTCCTACTATTTACCCGTAGCTGAGGGTAATTAGCACGTAAATGAAATTAATGGATTTGACTGGAATTCAAACTCGGGTCTCCGATTCCTCAATCCGAACCACTATTACTCCCACCGTGCCTCCGCCCAAATACTGTAGGTAGGTTTATTATCAATTATTGAATTGTAGATTTAAAAAACAGCATATACACTGCTATACAGAACATGATATTTTTGCAAAGTTCAACACTATTTTTACTAGGTTCGAACTGATACGAATAGTTTTCAGCTTGAGAAGACGGCACCAACAAATTATACAATAATAATAATTCAAACTTTCTCTCCGCATTCAACTCTGACTGGATTGTGGTCATAACTAATTTAGGTGAAATAATAAAACAATTTGCATGGCAAAGTATAACCGATAGGTCATACGCTGACGTCGTTTATAAAATAATAAAAACAAAGTGATCACCCGGAAATAATGCGAAAAGAGTCTGTAGATTTATAAAAAAAAATAAATAAAATAAAAAAAAGCGTGGGGTCAATTTCTGCTAGTTAGGAATATGTAAAACTAAAAAGGTAAATGTATATTGTAACACCCGAGCGCTAATATCCCTTCAAATTTATTTTCCAAAAAAGTCTTAATTCCGTGCAAAATTGAATGCTAGGTTTACTCTTTTTGCACTTTTGTTGAAATGTACATACAAAAATATTTACGAGTATTAGAGAAAAAAGTGTGAAGTAAATTGAATACAAAATGATTTCTTGTACAAAATAACAAAACACAAATAATTCTTGAACATTAAAAATTATCTTTTGCTTGTACTACGTAAATGAAATTAAGAGACTAAACCAGACTTTAGCAATTTTACCTGCTAAAAAAGTAACTAAGTAAACGAGATAATTAGTAAATTTCATATGGTAAAAATAGAATATAAAATAGGTGCATTAATTTAAGACTGTGCAAATAGTGACTTTGTTCGTGTCAAAATCTAAGAACGTTGAATAGATTTTTTTTAAGTGAGAACGTGTCAGTTTTAATTTTAAATTAATTTTTATGTGCTAAATTAAGAATATACTTCACAAGGTAAGAAAAGTGAAGATAGTTTATTTTGAAAATATGACAAATTTTACTCGTAACTGTTACTTAATTAATTGACAAATGCTTAGTGTTTGCACATACATGTCATTGTAAATAATGACGAATGTTATTGTTAGTGCTTTTGTAAACTTTTACATCAAAAAACACAGAAAGACAATATAAACATACCAAGTAACTGGCGTAATGAATCCACTCCTTCGTTACGTTCCATTATATTCTGTTAGTCTTTAAATAATGTGATGCAAAATACATTTGAAAATCTGTTACTCAGCAGAGAAAATAACGAAATACAAGCAAGCTGCTTAAAAATATGAATTATTTGCCGCTCAAACCATTTTCAACACGTGGTTTGGAGTTATGTCCCTTTCGTGTAAGGATTTTAGAGTTATTTCCCTTCCCTTCCTCTGTTTTTTTTTTTTCTTCTTTTTTTTTTTTTAGCTATTTGTCATCTTCACAATGTAAAAGAAACGGGCGCTTTGTCGTGGTGTTGTCACTAAAGCAGTGTACGTGGAAAAGAAAGTGAAGTCAGGGCTGTTAAGTGTCTATAAAATAGGGACACTTCCTGACTTCACTTTATTTTCCACATAAACTGTTTTAGTGACAACACCAACTGGACTTTGTTCCCAAGCATAGGGATATCTTTCCCCTTAATGACAGAACTTTCATGCTCATACACATGCATATTTTCACCCACACAATTCTTAATTTTTAATGTCTTCCTTATTTTGCATGCATCCTTGTGTATTTTCTCTATTTTTACTCAGTTATGTAAAAAGAGAGAAAATACACAAGTATGCACACAAAATAAGGATGGCATTAAAAAATAGGAATTTTTTTTTACTCACTTATGTAATAGGTCAAGTGGTTAGAACGTTTGCATTCTGACCATGAGACCCAGGTTCAAATCTCACCATAGTTGATTTGTCAGGAAGGAGACTTCCTGATGTTATCAAACTGGAGGGTTTGATCTCATCATGCAGCACCTTTGGAAAGTGCCTGAAAACTATTACACAGGTTGACCCAAGCCTCGTGAGTGAAGTTGGGTAGACAGAACCCTTACGTACTGTCAATAGCTGTGCTAGCACGAAGTCACAAGTCATTGTGGCCGAGGGCTTGAGCGTGCTGGCCTTGTTCAAATTGTTGATCATGCTAGATAACACATTCTTTCCCAGAAACTGTAACTAAGGTCTGCACAGCATAGTTGCAGTATAAACCACAGGTGGTCTCTGTGGGTGTTGAATAAATACAACTGCACCTGAGCAAGCGTCTACAATAGGGATTGGCTAGTCGCCCTAGTAGACGAGTATCCTCGAATATGAGTGGCCAGCTATACATACACTCAGTTATGTACAAACAAAAAAATATAAAATATCACCTTGTTGAAATTTATTTTGTTTCATTACACACATTATTTACATATGCAAAATATTGTTGCCACTGCTTTTAGTCTAACTAAGAGCTGTGTTGCAACAGTTTGGTAACTACAGCATGAATTTAACTTGCAACAACGGCAATGGAAGTAAATGATATATCATGTTATGTTGGGTTGATGCAGATAATGGGTACACTATTGAAGAAAGATTTATTCTCCCATTTAAATTTCCCCATTATGGGCATTATTATATTCATGATATAATACTATATCATATGGAGGCACATTGGAGTAGTGAATATTAGCTAGGATTGAGGAAACAGAGAGCTGAGTTCAAATTCCAGTTGAATCCATAACATTCACTTACATGCTAATACCCTTAGGAAAGGTATTAATCCTCCTCTTCTTCCTCTAGCTATGGGTAAATAGCAGGACAGACTGGGTTATATAGCCTTGGATGGCAACTGGTCTAGGAAAAGGAAAACTCTGAATTCAAAACCTGCAGAGTTTTGTTTGGGGACTTTGTGGCACGTAGTGCACCAGGTCTCTGTATTCAGCCTTTCAAAAAGTGTGTTTGGCTCTGCACAAAGCCTTTACTACCATAATCAAATCATATGTGCTGGTATGTGGCTGTCAGTTCCTAGGTATTGAGCTGCTTGATCCTCATACATCAAATACGACAAGATAGTCCACCATTATGTAGTGGATGGAACAGGATGGATGACAGGACAATCATGCTTGTTTGTCAGGTGAGATTTTTATGCCTCTAAGTCAGACCCAAAATTATATATACATATTTACACATGTCCCAAACAGAGAAAATACAACACATAACAAGCAAAGTGAAAAGGAAACAAAAAAAAAGAAACTTACATGTAATAATTCCCAATGAGAATTGTAGCTGTTGGAGATTCTTCTGTGTTTTTAGAGAAGCCATATTTAGAATTCCAGATTCTAGCAGGCTGGATTCATCTGCAAAATTGCTAGCAAGGACATATTCCGCAAACAGGAAATGGTGAGTCCTGGGTTTTCTGCAAAATGAGGATTGAGGGCCAGAGATATTTTCTATATCTAGTGAAGATATATAGCCATCAGAAAACAATACCATATGCTTATAAGCTGCACTACATGGCAGCTGGCTGGGAAAAGGCAGATTTATCCTCAGCAGAAAAATAAACAACTGCTTGGTTTGACTTCTGGAAGCTGACTAACTGACCACCACTTTCATCACTATGCAGTGACATCACTAAGCGGCTGTCACAGAACCTACATGACTTCATCTTGATCAAAGGAAGATAATCGCCTTTTCCATCCCTACAATGGTTATAGTGGTATCAAAAGAAAAATGTCTTTTTGACACACCATTTTTGCCTGGTCCTAAATTAAACTTTGTCGAAATTTGCCTACAAGAAGTTAAAACAGTTAGACATAGAAGAAAACAGATTATGGTCTGTAAACCACATTTTCAACCAACTACTTCAAATATGTGAACTATACACACATATTGAGTTGTTAACTAAGTTCCTGCTGATTTGTTTTTTTTAGTTTTGGAATCTATTGTGTTTTTAAATTTTTAAATCTGTTTTTTTCAAGAATTCTATTTTGGAATCATTTTGTAATATTTTTTTTTTTTTTTTTTTTTCGAGTTAATTTAAATTATTTTCTGTTTATTTTCAGATCATTAAAATGTCAAGTTAAGAAAAATGAGCATTTTCAACACTTTGTTCCCTTTGCTTTTAATCAAAGTTCTAAGGCCACAAAAGCTGATCAACATTTGTGCTGTGTGTGCAGAGGATGCCATAGATGAAAGAACCAAATAGCTAAAAGATTGGCATGCCAAGTTCAAAAATGGAAATTTTGGCTTCAACGACACACCTTGTTCTGGCCATCCAGTTGAGTTCAATGAACAGCAATTAAACCAACTTTTGCACAAAAATTCTCATCAAATGACAAGGAAACTAGCAGAGAAAATGGAATGTTTCCACACTTCTATAGAGAAGCATCTTCAGTTGATGGGAAAGGTTCAAAAGTGTTCTGCATGTGTTCCGCATGCTTAAATGACAACAGCAAAAATAAACAAGTGACAATCTCTGCTGGGTTGCTTGCTCATCACCACTCAACTCATGGTCACAAGCTACGATTTCTTTACTGAATTGTTACTGACGATGAAAAATGGTGCCTGTACATCAATATGAAGCAGCACAAGAAATGGCTTAGCCCCACTAAACAAGTGACACTACAAACAAGATTTCCATCTGCGTAAAACAATGTTGTGCATATGGTGGGACTGGGAAGGGATTATCTATTACCAATTGCTTGAACGGAACCAAATGGTCAACACGGAACTCTACGTTCAACAGATGGAATGACTCAACATGGCTATTCAAGAGAAAAGACCTAATCGGCAACATGAAGTTCTTTTGCTGCACGACAATGCCCACCCTCATATCCCCAATATGACCAAGGAAGCCATTCAAACACATAGCTGGGAAGTGCTACCACACCTGATGGATTTCCACCTCTTTCAATCTCTTTCAAATGCTATGTGTGGAGTTTTGTTCAATACTGATGCAGAATTGAGAGCTTGGATAGATGAATTTTTTGAGTTGAAACTGGGTGATTTCTATGCACAAGGTATCGAAAATCTTGATGAACGTTGGGAGGAAATTGTAAACAAGGGAGAATACATTATTGAGTAATTAGTTTTTATTTTTTATTAAACCTTTTAAAAAATTTAAATTAAAAAAAACGGTAGGAACTTAGTTGCCAACCCAATATATCACCACACTGTTATGACCTGATTATCATTGACAGACATGTCTGGTCAATTTCTGCTTAGCAACAGTGACCTCACAGTCAGTTACATGACAGACAACTCAGGTGAATTTTAAAAAAGACCACTTGTCAGGTTGACGAAAAGTTTCCATTTCAAAAGTCAAATGAGCAAAGTCAGTTATTTACACATCAGTTTCAAGTGGCATTTCTGGTAGCATTTTGAAAATATTTGAAATATAATGTAAATTATTAATTGACCACTGACAGTACTTTCCTTGCTTTTTTTAGACACTTTTTTCTGAGCCAGCACCTGCTTAAGAGAATCTATAAATACAGACTATAAAGCAAACAAAAGCCAGTTGGAGCATGGATTCCACATTGTCAACTCAAATGGATTACTAATCAACTGAAACATTTCCTGCTTTTTTGATGTAGATTCTACAATGACACCAAGGTACAAACTTTTCCCTTTTCAAGGGGTTTTATCATTACATATATCTCAATGTGTGTTTGTGAACTTTTCCATTTCTTATGGATTTTATTAAACACACCTGTAATGAAAGACATGACTTACCTTGAAATTCGAAACAAGTGAGAACATGTCTTGCCTGCAAAGTGATGACAAAAAAGAAATATGGCCGCTATTGAAGACACAATTTATGCACACCTATCTCATTCAAGATGAGACGATATTTGCACACATGCAAATTTTGGCCATCTTGGAATAGCATAATGAAGGGGTGCCAGCAGCACGAAAAGAAGAAAGTCATTCAGTGGATTGCATGTGTTAGAGCTGGATGTACGAATTGACAAAGAGGAAGTTGAAGTAGGCACGGCTGAATTAGTATCTGTTTCACAACTGCCCAATGTAATGACCGGGAAAGAGAGACACACAATCCATTTCCTTGAGGCAACTGAAGAAGAAGAAAAAGAGCTGGCCTGCCAGCGAGGGTCACACTGCACTTTTTGATCCCTCATCATCATTTATTTTTCTCTACAACGCCTCAATGTGTGCCTAACAACTTTTCGTACCTTTCCATTTCTTATGGACTTCATTAAACATA